AGCTGAGGCCAGTTTGAATAGCAATGCGCTTCTGGGCGCCTCTTACAAACTGCCTTTGGTTAGTTTAATGTGAAATCTCATCCTTCTAATTAATGCCGTTAGACAAAAGAAGGAGCTACTCTAGCAGATCGGAACGCTACTTTTTTACGATTCTTTTGAGAGCTTGCATTTTCTTATTTATAGTGTCCACATAGAGCATCACTCTTTTGTACTTGGAGTACGCCACGGAGGAGTCCATTTGAGAATGAGCCGCATGGCATCACAAAAAATGCGCTGCGTGCTGAATTTCTGCTAACTGTAATTATTTCTGCAGAAGCTTTACCAATTCCAATAAAAACGCTATGTTGGAATGGGCTGTTTCGCCCAGAAGTCTTGAAGCAGGTTCCATTATTTTATTCTAGACATTACTCATCACTCGAAAAGTCAGCTCCTCAAACCACCGAAAAGAATATGAACTCAACTGACCTCGAATGGGCTGCAGCGGCATAGAACGAAGACATGAACTTTTGAATAAAGACGCCCGTAACTACAGGAGATTTGGTTTTGAGTTTATAAAAAAGGGAGATTTGAAAGTTCGTGGAAAACTCGGAAGATTCCTGAAAGTAGAAATGTCTGGGAATTTATGCTACCTAGGTATATGGTAAATATTCTAGATTACTTCTATTCAAAAACTATAATTCCATATCACCTCGATCCCCCCCCCCCGTAAACGAGAAAAAAACACGCTCCAAGCCAAGCCTCGTAGCCCGGTAGGGGCGCGAATTCCTAGATTCGATTTTCCTCCTTCGATTTCTCGGTTTTCTATTTGGTTCCTCTCTTCCTTCCTTCTCTCGATCTCTCTATTTTCATCTTCTTGTAACTTAGTCTTTGCTGGTGCTGAGCATGGCCCCATATCTGGACAAGAATTACTTAGGTTACAAAATTGCTTCGTATTCATAAACACGTTCATCGACTGCAGAACACAAATTTTACATATATTAGAAATTGTGGTTATGATTTTCACTCAACAGTTCAGGCAAAATTCACCTTGTTTCCAATTGAGAATCGCAGAAGGTTCGTGATATCATCTCATCGTGCCTTAGCGACGAACAACCATCATCGCAAAGCTTCTGCATATTACGCCTGTCGCCCCAACATATCCACTTCACTAGACACTTACTTGGAAAGTGGGTATATACAAATTGGGAGAATTTTATACCGTAGGATGCAATAAGAAGGGCTCTTGTAACCTCGCGGTACGCGGTATTGTTGACCTATTTCTCCCAATGTGTGCATAATACGAGCACATAGTCTTATAAAATAACATCCACTCTCCTCTATTCGACGTGTGTCCTAGCAGATGAGAGCGTTCTTACCTCGACAATTGCAGGGGAATTTGCTTGCGTAAACATGTTGTAAAATTGTGCACCAAACAACAACACAATTGATTGTCGTGACCAAACACTTTCCCCATCCACTGGGCGAGGAGGTGTGGAGTTCATCCTATCGAACCCGTCGCCTGAAGATACAGAGCGCTATGCGCAAGGAGATACTGACCAAGATGAAGTGGTCAACGTTGGAGAAGAAAAAAAGAAGCGGTGTTTGCTCGACGCGTAGGAAGCACAGATCATATGCTCAAAACAATAGAAAGTGTAGGTTTTCTGACAGTAGTGAATTTTGTTGAAGAATATTTTCAGCGTCTCGGGTGTTTACGATTGTTGTATTTCGGGACCCATGCAGTTGTTTTGATGAGGGCCAAAGTGTTGGCAAAGACGACAACGAACATAACAGCTCTAGAAAAAAAATTTTGAACATAGGAATTTGGCGGCAGCCTCACCGAGGACCACCCTCACCTCAAATAATCCACGTTCTGAAGGCGAAGGAGGGAAACATCATGTAAAAAAGTTCAAGTTATCAGCCTTTTTTGAAGGAAATCTTCGACCATTGCTTTTTCATTTCTTAGCGAGTGAAGTTGATAGGTAATCTTTATTTTATTCAACGATCGAAATTGAAAGTGCGGAAATCAGAGGCTGCACTAAATCTTCTCGAATATGTTTACCAGGGACGGTAGTAAAGTGCCATAGACTGGGAGTCAAAGGTGGTGAACTACGGCCGTAAACGGCGAATAATGAAAGGCAAGACAGCCAGATGACCCTGGTGTGAACGGCGAACTTCAGTATGTTGCTAGTAAAACTGCTGCCTTGGTCAGGATTGAACACCTTTAACCCGAGGAGGGGTCATATCACTGCGACATCCATCCACGTTCCATGTGCTGGAAGGGTTGCCGAGGTAGAGAGCAATCGTCGGGTACTGCTGTGGTCTTTGTGCAGTGTCCGCACGCATTATTGCACTAAAATGAATTTTTCGCACGCAATTCCATTTTCCATCTATATTGTGCTTCATTTCAGTTGTTGTTCAGTTTTATCAATCATGTTTGCTGTTCAAGAAAGGCGCGAAACTCTATGTTGTGTTTGTCGCATATAGTTTTTCTTCAACATTGACTACTTATTCGATTGATCTTCTTTCAGTTCTTTTTGGTTGTAGCGCCCAGTGTTCTTGAGAAGATATTTCTTTCGTTTCGGGATGAGTATGCATGACTTCTTCATAGAATGCCTATTTGATTGGTCTTCTTGCAGTTCTTTTTGGCTGTAGCGCTCAGTGTTATTGAGAGCCTCGATGTAAGTGTGTGATTTCCCCAACATTGAGTGCTTATCCGATCGGTCCTCTTTCACTTGTTTGTGGCTGTAGCGCACATTGTTGTTGAAGGTTTTGTGAGAAGAAATTTGTTCCGTGTCGATGTGTGTATGCATGATTTTCCATTGTTCCTAATGAAATCTCTTCTCGTTCCTTCGACGTTTCCGAATTTTGTTTCGCTGCGTTCATTGCTTTATATTGTTTGATTAACGCAGTTTGCAATCAAAGTTATGATTCGGATGCTGAGTAATGTACACTTTGCCTTAGCGTGCAGCAATAGTCTTGATTCTGTAATGAACACTGCCTCAACCACGACTATCGATGAAACGCAAAAGCACATTGTGTGCTCAACGACCAGTGATGACTTGTTGGGGATTTCCCATGTATTGGAGCTCCGCAAATGATAACGGTGTCGTAACTGCGTGGAGGATCTATGGAGTAGCAGGAGTAGTCCAAGTCGACTGCATCAACGTGTTTATTCTTCCATGCAAATCCGACGTCAATAGAAACAAAAGCAATCATGACATTGAGGAAGGAAACTAGGAGGAATTAGGCTCAGGATTTCAACCATGAAGTATTCGTATGCCAGGACTTCGTGACGAATCTGGAAACCATGTGTCCCGAAAATGCTCCCATGCATGTGTTCAGAAATGCCTCTTCATTTCTTTGATGATGCTGGTCGTCGCGTCGCCTACGTCCGCCAGAACCCTCGCAGGAACATGTATGTGAACCAGTTTCTGATTCCTCAGAGATTTCGGTTCACCGATGAACAACTGGACTGGATAACGGACTTGTGGAGTTCCATGCTGGTCGGCGACGACCAGCAACCATGAGCGATAACTGAGAGGATGCAGGTAGTTAAAAATTATTAGCATCGTTTGCAGTAGCGGCTATTTTCATTTTGCATAGGTATTCGTTACCTATGCACTAATGCATTCCAAGTCGTTGTTGGTGACACCACTGGATGCACCCAGAAAACGGTGTCCAACATCATACAGCGTGTTGTCGATGCTCTGGCCCATCCAGACATCGTACAACGTTTCATTAAATTCAATCCGAGGACGAGCAGTGGTGCAGGGCTCAATCCAACGAATTCGCGAGGACGGGAGGTCCAGTGATTAGGAATTAGAAGCTGTACTAGCAATGTGAATTCAAAAAGATGTGTTTATAGATGTGATCAGTGCTGTGGATGGCACACTGGTCCGGATAAGGACTCCAGCTGTTGACGGGTGGCAGTACGTCAGCAGGAAAGGAACATCTTGCCTCAACGTCTGCATCATCGCAGACGCTGTAGGCCGAATCCTGTACGTCAACAACGGGTCCCCCGAATGGGTGAACGATGCCGTGACTCCGCACCTGCTGCGGTCTTCAAGTAGTGGAACAACCGTAGCAGGTTATCGCCTTCTTGGCGATATGGGGTACGGCAACGGCGGCGGAATAATAACGCCATTCCGGCCCACTGCCGTCCAAGGAGACGCGAGGAAAATGCGATATAACCGCGATCATTGCCGTATGCGATCGATCGTGGAGATGACCATCGGTCGTATGAAATCGCGTTTCCCCATTCTCTCGTCAGAACTGAGAGTGGGACCTCAACGCGCGTCGAAAATCGTCATTGCATGCGCAGTGTTGCACAACATAAGTTTGTGCCCCCACGCGACCGCCATGCGACAGCTTGGAAGTAGGAAAGCGACAATGCCACATCATGAAGACGTTAAGACGTCCGTGCGTACATCGTAGAAAGGATGTAGGCATATTGTCGGTACGTACATGTTGTTCCTAAAGATCTCGGTGTGCAAATTTGATGAGAACTCATCCGTTCCCTTTTCAGCCGATCCTAGAGCTTGATAGATTGTGCTGTACTGCATTCAGTCCTTCACAAGGCAGAGCAACTAGGGGCTATAGTAGGGATATACGCCCACACAGGTACGCAAGGAAAGTGCTGTCTCTATGTTGTATGTAGAGTTGTTTTAGTGATTTATTTCATTTGAAATCCTCGGGAGGACCTTGTTCCGTGATCCTACTTTTAAACCCAATTGCATAAGAAGTGCGTTGGTTCTTTTGTGAAACACTACTACTTCTATCTAGGTGCTCCCATTCTTGCAAACGTGAATGAAAGTATTAGAGCGGCCTATTGCGACCTGATTCAAAGCGATATCTGCAGGTTAGTCGCTTTACTCATTGTTGCATTTTTATTTTTATTTTT